CCCTTTCCTTTCCCTGCCTTTGTGGCTCAACAATGGCTGCTTCTTTCGCCTCCTCCTCCGGCCTTATTTTGTTTCAGGGAAGGATCAATTCATCCACCCGAAATTTATCTCCCCATTATCTGTCCCGGGGGGGAGCCCTTTCCCTGCCTTTGTGGCTCAACAATGGCTGCTTCTTTCGCCTCCTCCTCCGGCCTTATTTTGTTTCAGGGAAGGATCAATTCATCCACCCGAAATTTATCTCCCCATCCGCTTATCTGTCCCTCAGAATCTGGAAGAACAAAGACATGGAGTGGGATTTCAGCCTACATCCCAGGTCTCTGCTGGCAATTTGTGTCACGAGGCTGCCTTCGTTAGGGAACAAGCACAATTAACAAAGTTAGCTCTATTCTTGGAAAAGCTGAAGCAGGAAAAAGAGGGCGATCTTTCACCTCCTCAGAGCTCCCAAAAAGCCAAAGAGGGAACCGGCTGACCCAGTCGGGGGTCCCACTTCCTGAGCCGATGAAGGGGTCCCCCCAAGAGCTGCTTTGCCTATGGGCCACGGCCGTTAAGAAATCGTCTCTCCTTTATATATTTATTTACATAGATCGATCAATTGATAGTCAAGTATTTTTCAACTCCAAAAGGGTTTTAAGAGGAAGAAAGGCAAGAAAGGAAAAGGTTTCCAACCTGGAGGAGCAGCAAAACAAGCAGTCATAAAAGCTGCCATAAAAACAAGCCATAAAAACAAGCAGTCGGACATGCCTACAAAACAGATGTGCAAAAAAGCAAAAGGAAAGAAAGCCCCCCCTCCCCCAAACCAAGAGCAACTGTCTTGCCATCCTGCCCTGAAGATGAGCAGCAGAATCAATCCCGCTGTCCTGGCCAGCTGGAGGAGGGAGGGGGTCCTGGGGGGGGAAGAGAGAGATGCCCCTCCCAAGAGCTGGATTTTCCCAGCTTTGCACAAGACTTCACATTTTCCAGAAATTGGTTCCACGTGGAAATGACTAGTTTCTCCCAAACAGAGAGAGAACTACACTGGACCATCAGCATCCCTCCAGCGAGGAGCGATGGCGATGTCACTCCGTCTGCAGTTCGTTCAATGGTTCCCTTTTCAGCTCCTGCCTACTCAGGACCACCCCGCTCAGCTCCACTACGGAGGCTGAGTCACCAGCGCGGTGGACAGGAGGGGAACACACTTCGGAGGCTCAGAGGGCGTCTCAATCCATCCCTGTGCCTGTTTAGGTTTATTAGTTACTTTTGAGAAATGAGGAAATGTAACTCTCGGGGTAGCTGCCACCGCCGCCTTCCACCTGAATGGGGAGCTCGTTGGAGCTTTTAAAAACTAGCCCCTGAAGCTCCCAAACCCGGTCCCTGCCTTGGGTATCTCAGGCGGAGGGGCCCAAGCCGCAGGGGCTGCGAGACCCTTCCCCGACCAAGCGCTTGGGACTTGGTGCAATGCAAAGGGGAACCTGGCAGGCGCCAGGCCATGGATCGCTCCTGCTAGGTAGGAGCCAGAGTCAGAGCCCCCTGATAGAGGCATTCCCCCTGAAAATGGCCTTTATAGGTTTCGGTTATTCAACTGATTCAACTGACATGGAGTTCTCTGTATAGTCATGGGCTACTTAGCCTGGCCTACCTCAGAGGACTGTTGTGATAACAGAGGGAGATCCCTCCACCTATTAAGCTTTTGGAGCTGGACCAGCAGGAGACCAATGTGGGGGGAGAGAAAAAGACACCTTTTAAAGTTGCACCGCTCTCTGGTGGTGGTGGCCAGAGTCCTCCCCCACCCCACCCCCTGGAGCCCCATCCCCTCCTTGCCAGCCTTTTCTACTCCACCAACCTTGTCTGTCTGTCTGTCTGTCTCCCCCCGCTACCCACCCCCATTTTAAAAAGCAGGAGGAGCGGCGCTCACTTACCCTTCCCAAGCTGGACAAAGCCGAGCAGGATGATCAAGGTGAGGGCCAGGAGCTTGGCCGCGGCGAAGGCATCTTGAACTCGAGTGGCGGCTTTCACGCTGTAGCAGTTGATGGCCGTGAGCAGCACTGGAGGGAGGGGGGGCAGAAAGCAGGGAGAGAAGGAGGAGGAGGTCAGCTCTTCTCCTCCTGAGGGGAGGCTTCGCAGGCAGCCTGTCTTCCTTTTCCTGTCATTCAGAAGAAATCACCCCAAATCCCTCTGGCGGGAACCCCTTCCCCCCACCCTAAAAAAACCCTTCTGACAAGGTGGAGAGCTGGGGGTGGATGAGGGCGAAGGCCTTTATTTCCAAGCCCTCCCCCCCCTGCGATGCCCCCTGCCAGCCATCGGCACCAGCCCTTCCCTGACTCCCTTTTCACTTTGCGTCCATATTGTGGCTGCCTTGGCTCTGTGCCCAAGAAACGGGCCAGGCGGATGTTCTGTGCACAGCGCCTGGCACACCTGCGGGGCCGAGCCCTCCCCTTTCTCCCTAGGATGTGAAATGGGAAGCCAGCGTTGCATCATCCAAAGGGGGTGGGGGTGGCAGTGGCGGCATCTTTTCTGTTTCAATCTGAAACGATCTGACGCAATTAAGGCCGACGTGGGCATCTGCCCTGCGCCTCTTAATCACCTTTGACGTGCCTGGAAAACCCGAGGCAGGGGCCGCAGCCCCGACTTGGCTTCTCAGGTGGGTAAACGAAGGAGTGAGGGAGAGAGGAAGCAAGCGAGCAATTCAGCCTCTTCCTCAGTTTCCTGCATGACTCAAAACTGACTCTGGCAACACAAGAGGGGCCAAGGGGCCGGCTGCATCGGCGTGTGCGCGCACTGCCAATCGGCAGCCTCCCTGGCAGGCCGGACGGCACCTTCTGCAGCACCTGAGCGGCCTGGTGCGAAAGGGGAAGCCCCCGGGAAAGCCTGCCCTGAGGCATAAAAGGTGTCCACCCAAGCCGCCCGCACATAAAGCCAGCATGCATTTGTTTGCCTTCCTGTCTCCGAGCAGCTCCTGCCAGGCTCCCCCCCCACCCCCGCCGGCCCTTGAGAAGGTAAACGAGGAGCCGAGGGTCAACTTGCAGAACTCAGGAGAGGTCCTTGCTTGAACAACCACCCCCAGGGCATACTTTGCCTCCTCCCCCCCCCCCCCGTCCCTTTCTGGGCTGACCCCTGGTCCCCTTAGGAGCTGAGAGCAGAACGGCTTTCCCCAGCAAGAGTGTACGCCAGCATGAATGACTCCAACCACGATGCAACATGCTTTGGGGTGACAATTAAGAGCCACTCACTTTACAAAAGACCTGCTCCTTCCTACAGGAGATGAAAACCACCAAGGACCAATTTCTTAACTGTGGAACTATCTCTTGGGGAAAAAAAATCTTGCGCTGTTTTGCTGCTGACATTTTAAATTAAGTTTATGTGTCATTTCAATCAACAAACTGTCATTTTTAAAAAAAGGATAGTTCTGTTATCTGCACTTCAGTCCAATGTCATCCACCACAAAGGACATTCGTCGGAGGAGGAAACCCTCCAAAACCAAGCAGCCGCCCACAAGTAACGGTTTCCTATCAGGGGCAGAAGAGGAACCCGAGAAGCCAGAGGGAGCAGCAGCTGCGTGCCCTGCCCCACTGGTCTCCAAGGCAATGAACCGCCGAGAGGGAGGAGCACCGGCTGGGTTTCAAACCCGGGGCCTCACAGGAGTGGCCCACGGGGGGGGGGAAGGAAAGCCACCCACAGGCACCCTCCGCTCCCTGGACACAGGCAAACATTGACGCACCTCCTGGCGGAAGCAGGGCAGCTACGGCAAAGCCTGGGCCTTCTGGGCAGGGGCGAGGATGGGTGCAGTCTGGATTCAGCCTTTATGGGGCCATAAAAACCAAGGAGCCCAATGGCGAGGATAAACAAAAGGGGCTGCTTGAGAAACTCCTCCAGGGACAAAGTCTGCAGAAAGTGGGCGGCTGCTGGGAAGAGATGAAGGGACCACAGGGGACATCTGTGTATGTGCATGGGGGGGGGAAGGTCACTAGAGGAGACCGGACGGGCCTTGGGGTGAGACCACCACTGGATCATCCAGAAGTGTAAATCTGGGCAGGGGGGGAAAGGGGGAGGGAAAAGCGACATAAACGGCCCTGTGGATGGTCTGCGGCTCCCCCTGCCTTCCTGGGTGCAAAGAGCCGGCTGGCCTCCCGCGAGGTCTGCTTTGAGCCTTCAAAGGCAAAAGGTCCTCCTCCCATCCAGGGCAAGGAAGGTAAGAGACCGACGGAGAGGAAAATCCAGGGAGGGCAGAAGAGGCTGAGATGGCCAGGAGGAGGCCAGAGGATCCGGGGGGGGGGGGAAGCTCAGAAAGAGGGAGCAACGCAGGACCCTTCTCAGGGTTTCAGATGCCCAGACAAAGCGCAGAGACTTCTGCCTGGCATTTGTCACCCTCCCCAGGCTTCGGATCGGGCGGAGACCAATACAAACGAGCGCAACAGAGTCTGGCACTGCCTCAGTAAACATGGCTCTGGCAAGCTCCCCCCTGGCACGGAGCCTTTTCACCTCCAGCATCTGGGGCAAGAGAAGCCCCAGGCCAGGCAGGTGTCCTTGCCTGCAGAGGAGCCCATCTGGAGGAGAAGGGACGCAAATCTTCCCTGTGGATCCAAGCCACTGGCGACGGAGGGGCCGATGGCGGGCAGAGGGCTGCCGCCACCACCACCACCATCCCGTCGGCACTGCCGCCGCCACCACCACCACCACCATCCCGTCGGCGGCTGGAACCTGCTGGGCAGCTTAACCTGGGACTGAACTGGCACGTGTTAAAAGCCCTGGACACCCGCCAGCTCTCTTGCAAGCAACAAACGTCTTCAGGACGAGTAACATGAAAGCGTTCCAAGAGCACAACAAAGGTATGTGTTTCTGGAACTCACTTTCCAGAAGCTGCCTTGTCAATTCTCCTCTCCTTTGGACCCGCTTGCTTGAGTCTGTGCAGCTGGCAGATCACGGGGGGGGGGGGGG